CCCCCCCCCCCCCATAATCCTGTGAGTTTTTCAAACCCGGGTCTTCGTGATTGAAACCCCGCCTTCTCAGCCTGTCTGCTATTGAGAGGAACGCTGTTCTGCAGTGGGTTATCTGTCTCCTGTTCTTAAGCTGCTGGAAACCTTGTACTAACCGCCAGCGTTTCACTCTATCTTCTGATGTCCTGGTGTATTTGTTTTTTTGAAAAGTCTTGGGGATCTTTGCAATATACTCTGGTCTTTATCCACTGAAGGCTGTTCAGCATAATAAAGGCATAGCTGGACTACTAGCTTTCTAACCCCAGGCAACAGGAGCTGGCCTTTCTGGCTACAGGTGAGCACGTGGAAGAGTCAGGAAGTCAGCGGAACTCATTCCCAGGTGTGGGCTTTAAAACCTCCCCTCTTGCCTCCAGATAAGGTATTGATCTTGTTTGTCCTCACAAGACCTCAGGCCTGGGGGATAGCAGAACAACGACTCGAGGGAGAGTCCTGGATTGATCAGCAGCAGCTGAGTTAATCACAACAGATGTGTCCTGTGACATGAATAATTGTTCTTAAGATAATTTATGGAGTCTCGGTTACAGCCCTTCACTTTACAAACCAAACACGGATTTGTTTTCTCAGTTTATGAAGCAGTGTGGACAGTCCTCTGTCCACCTGAGAGCCCTTTAAGGAAAGCTGATTCCAAATGGGTCTGTTTCCTGTGTTCCTATGTGTTGTGCCGTGTTCCATTCTGGACAGGGCGCAGGGTAAGAGCTCATGTTAGAAATGCATGGACTGTCCACATACCTTAGGCAGCTGTAATCTGAATATTTGAAAGTGCTGTCCTCCCTTAGCAGAGTTGATCTTTACAATAAGTGGATGAATAACTCCTTCAAGAATCTGTTAGAAAATATGCATGTGGGCATAGACATTTCATGGGAGTCACGTCCCCTCCGAGGCTCATCCGAGGAAACCCCAGGGCTCCCTGGATTCTTGTCAACAACCTGGAGTCTAGGACTTAAGGATCTGGGATCTAGAGATGCAGAACTGAAGAGAGGAAAGGGCAGACATAATACAGAGAGCGCATATTGAACGATAATATCCTAGCTTATTCACTACGGGCCGTAGGCGTATCTATTCTCGAGAAGTGAGTTTGGAAATGCAAGCTAGCCCCATCTGAGAAATTATGATTTTCAGAGGCCTGAAGTCCAAGCTGACTGAATCACACAAGATTTGGGAGTAAATGAAAACAATGAGGCATGGATTTGCAGCCCGGTTCAGGAAGAAGTCCATGAATCTTCTTAGTTAAGGCCCTTTGAACTTCCATCGCCAGTCTTGAAAAATATATTAACAAGGCCTAAGAATGCAGTCATCTACGTCCTTGAGCAATTCATATATTAAGTTTACAAATTTCCATTATTCCTTAAGAAATAAAAAAAGAAACTGGAGACCTGACTCTGTGTTTTGATATTATTTAAACAATATATATATA